ATTATTAAAGAAAGAAAATTGTTACATAATGGCGATAATGCACAAATCTTCTTTAATTATTTAATATCTAAAAAATCAATACAAATACAAATCAATTAACATCTAAAAAAAATCAATACAAATACAACTAATATCTAAAAAAATCAATACAAATACAAATCTTCTTTAATTAATATATAAAAATCTTTATTTGCAAAAATGTTATATTTTTTTGTTTAGTTTGACCTAATATATAAGTATACAATGACAGACGACGTCACTACAGCATATCTACCATATCGCGAGTGATCATTCACCAATCTTCTTTAATTAATATTTCGAGATTTATTGCGAATATCGCAAAACAGTATGGGACTTTTATGTTCACCTCAATCCGTTCTACGTTCTCATAAAAATTATGGAGGAAAGTCTGGGGCACCCTGTATATATGATGACGTTAAAATAACGAGAAAATGATCAAATTATAGTCGAAAATGGGTTTTCATAGTTTTCTCTTCGTCATAATGATGTCATCGTAGTTTTTTTCTCTGAGTAATTCCTTTGAATCATCTATGGACTCAACGGGGAGCTATTCACTAGTGCTAAGCGAAAGAGCTGAAGGTATCCAAATCGTTGTAGAAGATAGATAATTCTATTCGGACTCTCGATGTCAGTGCGTTTGATATATACTTCAGAAGTAAGATCAATGTTTATCTCTATAGGTACAAGAAATAATGGTTGGGATAATAGAATAATAAAGGGATATCTGTCATTTTGACAGATCCATCGGCTCCACGTTTCAACATTTTTTGGGATTTATTTACTTTGGCATTTCTTTAATCTTTCCGACACAACAGGTAGTCGCACCGAAGTGATGGATCGCTTTTCGAAACCGATGTGGTCCATTGGCCGAGAACAAAGGAACATGGGAGTACATAGTGAAACGTGGAAATTACGGACACACACACACACCTGCATATAATATATAATATATCCTTTGATAAGTTTATATTATCATATGGATACAAATTTCTATTTATTTTCGATGTATAAAGATACGGTAACAAAAATATGTTCTGTGTATGCCATAGAAATGGCTGGAGGTTCAGATTGTCTAAAAATCGTACTTGTTTTTTCACAATTTTTTATGACAAACTGAATGAATATGCGAAAGTGTTATTTTGACATGTATTTATACAACATATAAAGAAAAGAAAAATATAATTTTTATGATCAAATACTCAATATAAGTGTATGGTACATGCAGTTAAAATATATTTCGTTTTTCTTTTCAAGGTCGTCATTTTGCAGTAATATCTTAACTTTCGGTGGTTCAATTAAACTGAATTTTAGGTAGAAAATTTTCGTAATCGTGTGAACCACTATAATAGAAATTGAGTAAAAGTTAACAAAATTGCAAATATCTTAATGGAATATTATTAAATTTTCGGTTCTCTTATAGTAAAATATTAATATTTCAAAATTAAATATTTTTATGAGTTTGTCAATGGTTCACAAGATAACGACAATTGAAAATTTTCTACCTAAAATTCAGTTTAATTGAACCACCGAGAGTCAAGATATTACTGCAAAATGACGACCTTGAAAAGAAAAATGAAATATATTTTAACTGCATGTACTATATACTTATATTAAATATTTGATCATCAAAATTATATTTTTCTTCTCTTTAAATGTTATATAAATACACGTCAAAATAACATTTTCGCATTCAGTTTGTCATAAAAAATTGTGAAAAAACAAGCACGATTTTCAAGCAATCTGACCCATTTCCTAAAGGAATGCCATACTTGATAATTTTGCCGACAAAGTAGTTACTGATTTCTTCCTGTAATGTTTACATTGTATTGATTGCATAAAATTATAAATATTTGTACACGAAGAAAGTATCCGCAAGAATTAATCGGAGCATTGCTCAATACGTGACAAAAACGGTAAAAAAAATCTTGAAATTGTCATTTCGACTTGTCAGTTAGCGTAGATATTTATCTGATACAAAAGATCTGCATTTTATATACGCCGAAAGTGTTTGCTCCACTCAAAAAAATTTCAACAATCTTATCGCAAACCTTTATAAATAAATTTAGAAGTTTAAAAATGTATAAAAATTTTGCAGAAAAATTTTTTCATTGTATTACGCCATTTGATATCATGAGCACGGAAATGGGTTCAGATAGCTTCGTGTGTTATATCTAAACCTTTCTGCTTCAATTTTGTTGTTCCTTGACGCAGTGTTAAGATTCCGCGAAAACAAATTCGCTATCATTTTATTGGCTTTAGGGGACACTTTGCCTATCGAGTCACGTTCAGGCAAGTCATTGAGTTTTCGTCTCTTTGTCGCTGAACCCACTTACTCACTGAATGATTTCGACTTCCCCATATATTTAGCAGCCGCTGTATGAGACATTTTCGGACCTTTCGGGTGGGAACAGAGGAACATAGCCTCGTAGCGCGACGCGTACGCGGCACTTATGGTGTTTTACGTGTTTATTTGACTTCAATATCAACTGAATCTTTCTTGACAATGCATGAAGAGCAAAAGTTCACTCTATCCACTCACGAAAGAATTAGGACGATACTTTTTACCGACTGCTAGTTATGCTAGTTATAAAATATAGATTTCATTTTTGACCCATTCACGGAATCTTAACTAATCACTGGAAATTGTTTCTAGGATGTCTAGGTATAGCTTCCGGAATGGAGCCGTGTCTTGAATCAGCGATATGACATATCGCTGATTCAAGACACGGCTCCATTCCGGAAGCTATACCTAGACATTGTATCAATGGCCGTGAAAGCCTCAAACCTAGTATTGTTTCTAGGGTCTTCTAGAAACAAAAAATAAAAAGAATTTATCCAGATCCAAAGAAAAAGTTATGAAAATTATTTATTTATTATTGAAATTGTATTGATTATTGAAATTGTAAAATAAAGTATTTTTAAATTTTATATTCTTGATATCTACAGTTGTTGAAAAGTACAATTTTAAAATAAGATCAATAGTACATTTATACTTTAAGAGATGAATAGTAAATGTAGAGAAATTTTTGTTTATGCACACAATGTTTATGTATTGTATATGCAGAGAGAGAGAGAGAGAGAGAAAGCGAGAGCGAGAGAGAGAGAGAGAGAGAGAGAGAGAGAGAGAGAGAGAGAGAGAGAGAGAGAGAGA